GTGAGGAGGAACGTGCCGCTGCACAGATCACTAACAGGTTGTCGGTGATCTAACATATTCCTGCCATGGCAGGTTTCTTTTAAATCAGGCTCAACTCCGGGCCTCCAGCTGTTGTGGAACTACAAGTCCCATGAGGCATTACAGCACTGACAATTACAGGCATGACTCCCAGAGGCAGACGCATGTTGGGATTTGTATCTAAAGCAAAGCTGGAGGGCCCCTGCTGTGTTACATGCTATACTAGGACCCACCTGCAGGGGGTGCTGAAGGGGTACCTGCACTTTGTGATGTGAAAGACATGGCTGCTACACATTTACCAGCTCTGTGTTCACATCATACTATGTAAAGAATAAAGCAGAATTCCCATGAGGTATTGCAACACTGACAGTTACAGGCATGACTCCCAGAGGCAAGTTGGGATTTGTAGTTACAGCACAGCTGGAGGGCTGGAGTTTCCCGTCCCAACTTTAAAGGAGAACTATGAGGTGAGTGAAAATCACTCATCCTCATAGTTCGAGCCGACGTGTGACAATGAAACTGTCACACGTCGCCTCAATAGATAGGGAAGTGAGCGAACACATAGCGTTGCTCGCGCACTTCCCGATCCTGTCCGTGCAGAGAGCCGTGACTGTCACTCACAGCTCCTTGCAGGGATTCTCCCCCTCTCCGATCATTCAGCGCTAACTGGCGGAACGGACAGGGCGGGTACAGCTGGCTCTGCCTCTAGATAGGCATAGCCAGCTGTCACTCACACAGCTGAGTGGATCTCGACAGTAATGTCGGGATCCGTCCGGCTGCGGCGTCTCAGTATACTGCGAGCTACTGAGCTTTGGGTGACGGGAGGGCGCTAGTTTCTGTCCTCCCGTTACCCTTAGGAGAACTATGGGGAAAAGCACTGACCCCATAGTTCTCCTTTAAATATTACTGCACCTATTTCATGGAATTCATTGGCAGGTTTCCTTTCATTAGCACAGACTGATAATCTTCTGAGGAGGGCAGGCCGGTGCGCTCTAATCTCTCTCGCCTGTGTTTCATAATAGTAGGAAGGCAGGAGTTGCTTTTTCCTGGAAATCGGGTCCAGTCCTCATATCTACAAGTCAAACAGAGGCAAGCCATAAAAAAGGATCAGAGCTGCAACGGAGAAGCACAATTAATATTAACTTTTTTATTTTCCATCGCTAAGAACACTTATCATCTTTACCCCCTGACCCCGGAGTTTTTATCAGCCGCTCGTGCAGTCGCTGTGATAGCAGAATGCGTCTTTTTTTTATGGAGGACTGTGTTCACTGCGCAGGGAAGACGTAGAGACCAAAGTACATGGGGGGAGAAGTTACAAAATGTGGAGCAGTATAAAAATGAAAAATAGTCACATCCTTCTATTGAGAAAAGCCGCCTATGACACGAGCAGAGACAGGTGTACCACCCAAATGGTTCCGAAGCAATCACAGGCTCATCTGACTCATTATGGACAAGGAACCCGATTACAGACAAGTTAGGGCCCATTCAGTGGCGGCCGGCACCCGGGTGACACCATTGCAGGGGTGGCACCAAAATGACTGACAGTGATTTTGGTGTCACCCCCTCTAAAAAGTCAGGCACTCGGTCACGGGAGATCTGTCATTGAGGGCTAGTTCACACCAGCCCCAGTGCGTTCCGGCCCGATTGGTGCTGGAACACACTGGATCGCATTCCGCCCGGCTCACTTTGTTCTGGGGGCGGGAGGGGGAGTGGCGGTGCATTGAAGTCAATGGCACCGCAGCCACGCCCTCCAGCCGCAGTGCGATTGCCTGCACCGGAACGCGTGGCACATCAATGCCTATAATCTGGTCCAGTGCAATCAGAAAAAATGCTGCATCTACTATTTTTTCTGACCAGACCGCAGACATTGATGTGTCATGTGTTCCGGCGCGGGCGATCGCACTGAGGCCGGAGGTCATGTAACCTAGAGTTTACCGATCTCAAGCATCTCTGACTTGTGTCTTGAATGAGCACAAAGTAACAATATTGTAACAAAATGTAAAGAAAGAGAGAAGCTGAGAGATCCGTGTTATTGTGTAACAGCTTCTGCTACTTTGCCGACATTTCAATCCCCGATGTAAAGAATATACAAAGTGTTAAACCTTCCACAGAAATATTAATAATAAAAACATTGTGTGGCTGCCCAATTCATACCAGACCCTTTACGTGCATTGGATTGTTGCCCCCGGTCATACCTTAGGGACATGAAGCGCGTTTCCAGAAGTGCTTAAGGCTGGATTCACACCTGGGCATTCCAAATAGGCGCGTTTTATGCTCATTTTTTAAGCATGTTTTAAGCACTTTTTTTGTTCAATGAAACGCGCGTTCGACGCTCGTTTTTTAACCTCCCTGGCGGTATGATTTTTTTTCTTTCTTTTTTTCTCAGTTTTTTGTATTTTTTTATTGTTTTAAACTTTTTAAACTTCCCACCGGCCAAGGTAAGATCTACGCTGTATTCCCGAGTGTGGCTCGGGGTTACCGCTTTGTTAACCACGAGCCACACTCGGGAATACCAATGGGTACGCACTGAAATACACCCCAAAGAAGCTCCTGTACTATTTCGGGCGTAGGGCGTTTTTCATCGTGTCAAAACGCGCTGAAATACATCCAGGTGGGAACCATGCCAATAGGAATTAATAGGATTTCACTGCTTGAGCGTTTTTCAGCACTTCGATCAGCGCTGAAAATTGCCCAGGTGTGAACACAGCCTTAGTCCCTGTTCAGGGCCCGTTCACACCAAGGCCGTGTGTTATCGCGTTCCCCAGACAAAATGAGCATTACCTCTAGTGGGGGCAGAGAGATTTTTTTTTTTTTTAATCATTACTTTTCTGCCTGTAGTTCGGCTTTAAAAAAAAAAACATGGAGGTATTGTCTGTAGAGGAAGCTTTTATACTGATATAAACATATACTGACATATACACATTACATTTTAAATGCACGGCACACTTTTCTATAGTTCATGCTATACCCATAATTAGGGTGTAAATGAAACATGGTCACATTTGCCTACCCCCCCGCCACACACACCTGAAAGTGGACCAAATCCATGGCAGGGCACCCACAGGGACAGATGTGGAGGAAGAGGGGATCGAGGTATCGGGACCATAGCTGGGACACCTCGATACTTTAAGATAATTGGTGGATCACGGTCTCGGGAGTCGGGACCATAGTTGGGACACCTTGATTTTTGAAAGTGGTCAGTGGATTGAGGAATGGGGACCATAGCTGGGACACGTTGTTAAGGTGGTCGATGGATCGAGGTATCGAGACCATAGCTGTGACACCCTGATACTTTAAGGTGGTTGGTGGATCGAGGTATGGGGACCATAGCTGAGACACCTTGTTAAGGTGGTCGGTAGATCGAAGTATGGGGACCATAGCTGGGACACCTTGATATTTTAAGGTGGTCGGAGGATCGAGGTATGGGGACCATAGCTGGGACACCTCAATATTTAAAGGTGATCGGTGGATCGAGGTATGGGGACCATAGCTGGGACACCTCAATATTTTAAGGTGGTTGGTAGATCGAGGTATCTGGACCATAGCTGGGGCACCCTGTTAAGGTGGTCGGTGGATCGAGGTATGGGGACAGTAGCTGGGACTCCTCGATATTGGTCGGTGGATCGAGGTATTGGGACCATAGCTGAGACACCTTGGTAAGGTGGTCAGTGGATCGAGGTATGGGGACCATAGCTGGGACACCTCGATACTTTAAGGTGGTCGGTAGATCGAAGTATGGGGACCATAGCTGAGACACCTTGTTAAGGTGGTCGGTAGATCGAAGTATGGGGACCATAGCTGAGACACCTTGTTAAGGTGGTCGGTAGATCGAAGTATGGGGACCATAGCTGGGACACCTTGATATTTTAAGGTGGTCGGAGGATCGAGGTATGGGGACCATAGCTGGGACACCTCAATATTTTAAGGTGGTCGGAGGATCGAGGTATGGGGACCATAGCTGGGACACCTCAATATTTTAAGGTGGTCGGTGGATCGAGGTATGTGGACCATAGCTGGGACACCTCAAAATGTAAAGGTGGTTGGTAGATCGAGGTATCTGGACCATAGCTGGAACACCTCGATATTTTAAGGTGGTTGGTGGATCGAAGTATCGGGACCGTAGCTGGGAATAACTCGATATTTTAAGGCGGTCGGTAGATCGAGGTATCGGGACCATAGCTGGGACACCTCGCTATTTTAAGGTGGTCGGTAGATCGAGATATGGGGACCATAGCTGGGACACATCGATACTTTAAAGCTGCATCACAAAGCCATAGACCTTATAGAATGGCAACTCAAACAGTGCATGAGTGACAGGTCCGCTTCAGCCCTATAATCAGGCTCTTGTAGCCGTGCACTCTGCTTGAACTGTGCAGTTTGTAAACACTCTATACATTCCCGGGTGGGAGTGATAGTGGGAGGGGGCCGGGCTCCTATATGTCCCCACATCGGCATTCCTCGGCTCCCCAGCACTGCAGGGCATTGTATTGCACTCACAGCCCGAGCCAGCGAACACCCTACACACCGTGTACACAGCCAGCTCTCGGGGTGGGCGGGGCTTCTCGATGACAGACACCGGCAACACCTCCAGGCACGCCCCCTCCGCCGTGCGACCTTTCCCCTACTTTCCAGCTTCTTGCACACTCAGCCCAGAGCGGCATGCCTCCGACACGAGCTGATCACGCACCTGGCCCGGCCGCCATTGGCTTAGAGCAGGCCGAGGCGAGCGCTGATTGGCCCGCAGTCTTCTCTCCCCCCCCCCGAGAGGGGGGGCTGTGCAATGAGTGCGATGTCCTCACCTCTCCTTCCCCGCCCCTCCCTCCTCGCTGTGTTGGATGTGTGTGCACGCCGGAGCCGGGGGCCCTCCCATGCAACATGACGAGGTACATCCCCAATGCAAAGAAGGCGAGCTTGTTATTGCTCATGAGCAGCCCCGGCTCAGGCAGGCGGCACCACCACCAGGTCCTGCTGCTGCTACTATCACCTCTCCATCCTTTGTTATATTGTATCAGCCGGCCAACATGCTGAACGTGACCAACGGCGACAGGCAGCAGCCGTCAGCTGTAAGTACACCTTTTATAATCTGCCTGGTGACAATTGGTCCTGGGGGATACTGATGGGCAGACAATGGGGGGGTGTCTGTCAGTATTGTACAGGAATGTTGGACAATGGGCATTTATTATATAGATCCCGTCCGTATATATTGTCTCATTTCCATTTTCTATATCATTTGGTTTCCTGTAATGATTCAAGGTAACAATGTATTCTCATGTATAATTGGGTCATTCAGTGTATGACTTTGTCATTGTGTGCCCATGTTGTGATCAGCCTTATACTGTGTGTGTGTCTATGGAGCTGTCAGTGTCATAGGATACAGTGATGCGGGGGGTAGCTGTCACTGTCTGCCTTCAGACATGGAGGGTGTTCGCTCCCTTCCTGCCTGTAATTGTCAGTTCTGGGTGCCAGGGCTGAGTGCGGGCTCCCCTGTAACCCCTCAGCTGCCGGAGGATGCTCCATTGACAACCGCCCAGCTTGCTTTTTTTTTGGATGGGTTTTTTTTTGAACGCAAGTCCCGCCCTCCCCGGCTCCCGAGCCGCGCCCACTTTCGCTTTCCCGCTCCGCCCACCGCACGGCCCCCTCACATGGCTATTTTAATGGATGACGTATTGGAAAGCTATATTTGGATCGCGCGGCCCCGCCCTCTGGAAAGGCCGTGGGCAGGGAATGAGGTGGAAAGGGCGGGGCTTGCGGTTTGTTGCCCACTTGTCTGTGGGTGGGGCCACGCTGTGCTAAC